AAAAGAAGATAAGGTGTAAGTAGACAGTCTATGTGCAGTTCATGTGCAGTTCATGTACCTACTACCTACATACAGTCTCCGAGTACTTAGGTCGCAGTCGGTATTGATTGAATTGTGGAAAAGAGTATAATCCCATAATAGTATAATACCATAATCCCAGATAGGCAATAGATAATAGATAATAGATAATAGGTAAATCAGAAGCCTTGCTCTTGCATTTGGTGTGGATGACTTCTGAAGTTCTGAGCAACTTTTTCTCCTATCAATTTGTTATCGATTGGTCAATTGTTCAATTGTTCAATTGTCCCAAACCGCCCCCGTCCCCCACTCGACAATAGACTGATCGAGACCTTTGAACCCTTGATAGTCTGTTTATGCAACAACGCCTGCTTCAGCCCTCCAATACTCTCGAGTCTCGACATACAAATGAGATGGAAAACACTTGCGCCATGTCGCCATGGACTCCGTACTACTGTATGGGATTTGCTCAGAGACTCCACAATTCGGCCGGATAAATTACTCTTGACTGTGCGGGATACCGCTTTGAGATTGTCATCGGTCGGATGTAACTTTCCCATTTTAAAAATAAAATATTCGCATCTACCGGGTACCCGACATCTTCCAGCCGTTGAAATTTTCATTCACGATTAACGTACTAGGGAGTCTGTTCAGAATACACATCCAGTCTTTTGAAAAGTCGATAAGGCTCACCTGTTGATTCAATTCGATTGCCCCTCCCCAGAGCTGTCGCGGTCTGATAATCACAATCACAATTTTTACATTGCTGGCTAGATATTTCCTGCACTGGTGGACTGATGGCGAAAGATTTCCGGGGATATGAGTCAGGTTGACCCTGAACTTGCATTCAAATGCCACTGTAAGCATATAGCTGCTTCCACTACTTTATAGTTTGAGTTCTGACGCTCCTTCTTATTATCATTGGATATTGTAGCTACAATATGTCGACGTCGTTAACGAGCTTCCGATAAACTGATAAGCTGTAGTCCCTAATGAGGCAGACTTCTCGGCACATCAAGTTGCAGGTGTGCTTTGTTTAGAAATCCAATCCAAAGAGTCCACAATGTGGCTTGTGTTAGCTGCCAATAGAAAAGTTGAGAACCAATTTTCAAGCTTTGTAAGGGACTTGTTAGATTTGGAACCACTTTTTTCGAAATGCGGGATGTGTAGTACTCAAGAATACACTCGTGTTTGACCACTTGTATGAACCAATTATTAATATGACAAAGTGCCGCATCTTTTATGTGCCCGCCCAATGTTCGTTCCATATCGAGCTTTCGTAACCTTGAGCATTCAATAGTTGCTGCAGGAAGTGATATACTCATGGATGCCTGCCTGTTATTGGATGCTTGTTCTTGAGCTCCTTATCAGATACAGACGTTGATAGTTCTAAACCTTTCATAGGTGTCCGCACACCTATTAACTTTCTCTAGTGTTTAGTTCATTTTCAAACCTGATTTTGCTTCACCATAGTTAGATGGATGGATATCGAATGGATGAACAAACAGAAAGGTGAGGGCGGTAGAGGCTTCGGGTGTTTCTCCATAGATGTCAGTGATCATGCAGATGTCGTATTTGGGTAGGACTATGCAGAGATGACAGCGCAAGTTGCTCGACGGCACGGGTTGATTGTCCAAGATCATCCATAAAGGACAATGCGTACCGGCTCGGTATGGACGTTGTTGACCTTCATATATAGCAATACGGAAGTGAAACTACTACAATGTCATTGTTTTCGGACAACTACGATCTGAGAAATGCTTCATCGGTCAAACCCGAGGCGCAATTGATGGCTCGAGGTCCTTAGTGGTGCAGTCAAAAGGCTGCATATTTCTTGGAAGTTGGAAATAGACGATCTCCCGTCGGTCTCGGTTTCCTATCAGTAGATTGAGGCCCATATTTGTAAAAGAAGCGCCGAAAGTAACAATCTAGAATTGTCAGCTCTCAATGCCGACAATACACTTGCGGCGTTTGGTGAAGAGAAGCAGGAGAGAATGGTCTGAATTTAAAATTACAACACAATCAACGACGCAGAACTGTTTGAGAACACTTTGGTAATTTCCCCAGACCATCGATGGATTATACTTTGAGCTTTGATTCCCTAGCCATGGACCGACCTAGGTAGGTATATACGTATAGGCCGAGTTTGAAGATAGCCGACCTTCTAACTTCTTACATGCTGCCACTCTTAAGCCATTGCATGTGTTTCTGTCAAAGCGAGCGAATAAAGTATTCTGAGATAAGATTATTGCGTGACCAACTACTGAGCTACTCCAACTACTCCAACGAGTGTGATTAGTATGAGTGAATTCTGGGATAGCCTACCGTATAAACTCAACTACTCCAAAACATACTTTTCCCATCATGGAACAAGCTTTGACTAGAACATTGGACATTTCTGTTCATTCTTCAATCCGGAAATAGGAAATAAAGGGGGAGATATTGATTCCAATAGGCCTGACATATTTTGGAGTGAATCGAGGTTAAACGGCATTGTCTTGAGGGTTGTTATGCTGCTCGAAGAGACACTTGAAGTATGGCCGGCACAAGACAGCCAACCCAACCACGACTGAAGTTCGGTAAAACACTCGCGATATAAAAGGTTTTAACATGGATTCTTTCTTGATATTCTCAGGGGTGATCTAGGAACTAGAAAACTAATGGTCGTTCCGGGCTATCTTGAATCTGAGCCATCACCTCATGGGGTAATTGGCATTTTTAGTGGCAAGGGCAACGAGAATTTTCTCTCCGAGCCACCAGCCTACTCCTGCAGCCAGTGAGTATTCGACCTTGCTCGTCTCCAATGATCCCCACATTGTCCCGCAAAGAGAGGAACAACGAGATGTGATTGGCGGATGGGGTATAACCTTGGAGAATCTTAGGTTCGGAGAATCGGGCTCGTATGTTGAAGTGTTTGTCGTCTGTCGTTGTTCTCCTCATCTTGAAAGCCAATTTAGCAACATTAGTGAGCTTGGTATATCTATTAGTAGGATCAAGGCAGGAGGTAGCGAGCGGCTTCATTATCCCTCGAGATAGACCTTCTATCATTTGTAGCAATGGTTCGCCATTACGCATTTGAGACCGATGTGATATCTGATTAACCTGGTATTAATAAACATGGAGTTCTCGGTGATTGATCGATGATGAGCATTTCGCTTCCACCATATCGGTCTGGAATGGCTGATCTGCCTCGGTCTCCGACGCTATAGGTGTTTTATTGCCTGTCAGATACTGGGATATAAAATACGAAAGGCCATGAGATGTGAGAAATACTAGTGGTTTGATATGATGATGCAAAAGTAGACGGGAGATGTAAGTATGAAGTTCAAGGTGCGTACGAAGTACAGAGTTTACTCTGCAAGATTCGTTAGGTAGAATCACTGCAGTGTAGCACATATTCACGTAATCTACCGGAATGTTCCTGCGTGGACGAAGGTAACAAAGCATCCCAAAACGTGTTCATTCCACACATTGATCGATATATCAAAGAGCAGCTTTGTTAGAATTTTGATAAGTTTTGTATGAGACTATCTAGTCGACAAGCCACTACCTGGAAACAATGGAAAAAGACCGCGAGAATAAAGTTGCTCACAACGCTCAGGCCTAGATAGATATCAATCGAGACAGTCTCCCCCTCTCTCTACACCATATTCGTGTCTGGGTAGCTGTCGGTTGACCCATTCTACCTATCAAGAATTAACATGGCGTGATGAATGTTTGAAAGTGTTTCGTTTCCCCAGTCTTCCAAGGTTCTTCTCCAGGAATTGGAAAGCTTGTAGAACGGCCCATTGCTAGAGTCCATACCTTATCAGAGATAAAAAGATGGAGAGAGTTTAGAGATCTTGATACTATTGATGATTAGATATACCTAGGCCTATAGAGTTGACTGATAGTAAAGTTCTGAGGGGGAATAAAAGGTAAAAGTTCACGAGAAGAGGAGAAGAGAGGGACCTATAGGTAGACCTGCATGCTCTGACGCGGGATTTCTTTGGGTTCTCTGTCTCAGACTCCATCAAATTGGGATAGGGAATGAATGCGAGTATTCGACGTGGAATTGTTAATTTTAAATTAACATTCCTTTCTCTACAGACACTTCCTCATTGAGCAGAATGAGAGTCAGGTGGTGAAAGAGAAGGAATTCTGGGGTGTATGTTGATTGTGTCGTACATATGTATTGTAGTATTGTATGTAGCTAATCTTAAGTAATGAAATCAATTGGAAGTAAGTGAATGAATGAATGAATGAATGAATGATGATGATGGTGATGATGATGCAAAGTGTGTCAATGCCATACAATACTAGGGAGCTCTGACTACCCTACCTACTCAATGCTCTCCGTACTTGTTATTATCTGTAGATAGTACCTAGATTCAATACAAAGTACAGACGAGACCAAACACTTCGCTCATGTGTAGACTGGACCTACCTAGGTATATGATATATCGACGGCATACTCGTAGTCTCGTACTTTACATCTATTTCCATCGATGAGATCTAACCTTTCTTGGTATGAGATAGAGATCTAACGTTTTTGGTCATGTACGAAGTTCTAATACCTACCTAGTACATAATAGTAGCCACTACATTATTAGATAAACGCACAACCTTGGAAACTCATTACCGTTTACCATTTACCACTTATTATTATGATTGTACTACCTACACATATACCTCCTAGACATATAACCATCTACCACTGGCTACACACACACCCCTCACGCTCACATCCAAATTCATTCAATATTCATTCATGTTCACGATCATTCAATCTCGACAATCACGACGTTTTATTAAATTCACCCCTCACTCCTCACTCCACACGCCCTCGCCCATCCACGCACTCACCTCATCCACTCATTCCATTCGCAACTCACTATCCACTTCCCGCCCACTTTTCAATTAGAAAAATTCCGTAGCAAAGCCACTTCATGAGTGTCCAAGTTCCTAAATTCCAAGGGTCGAGAACTTCTTTTCTTGTCTTTACTTATACTACTCTTCCTAGTACAAGAATAAACTTCCTCCAAAGAAAAAGGCTTTCCAACTAAATTCTTCAGAATCAATCCTCACTTGATTTATATTACTCACCTCGTTCGATTTCTCATTTCTCCATTTTCCATTTTACCTTTTACATTTCACACTTTCCATTCTCCATCCTCCATTCTCCATCCTCCATTCCTCCATTCTCCACATTCACTCGTTTCTCTTATCACCTACAAACCTAAACACCAAAATCAACCCTTTTTCTTTCCAATCGATAACCTGCTGCTGTATCCTATTGATCACTTGGGAGTCGGAAATCCTGAGAAACCCTACAAGATCAATTGCAGTTCACTTCAATTCATCAATCGAAACGTCAATTGTGGAGAATCTCTACTACAACCCAATCTTACCTACCACAATAACTACCAACCTACCACCAACCACACTTTCGCAAACAACCTTTCAGTATTCTGGACGTATTCGAGTTTATGATTGATATCATACTTATTATACAACTTTTGAGACAGCGGAATAGGAAGTCGGCAATAGTAGAAACGGTGAAAAAGTCAAACGAAGAGGAGGTTATCTTTCTCAACCACAGGTCGTTCTGACCTTAAACCACATACTCCGCCACCAATCAACCCAACTCTTCCACCGGAAGGTATTATCGCAAAAATGGCGATAGTCCTCAATTCGGAAGAAAACTCCTACTTTTCGTCAAGTCCGCTTCGTCGATCACACTCACAGCCCAAATTCGTCACACAACCGTCGTCATATTCACAATCTCTATCTCGATCAAATAGCGTAAAATTCAACCCGATAATATCCCCCAGTAATTCCTCGGCGTCTTCGGCGCCATCGTCTCCCCAAACCCTTCATGCCGATTCTGTCGCTCCCTCATACTCGTCAACGCCAGCTAGCAGCTTGTCACTCGATCATAGCGACGATGCAGACGATGAAGATCGAATTTACTTTCCCACATATGACGACATAGGATATTGCGATCAAATTGAAGATTTAGAGCCACCAACCTGTCCACATACCGGCGATTCCTATGCTGTCTCACCCATCTCAAACGGTACCTCTATAATCTCTCGACCTGGATCCCCAGAAGTACCACACGCACATGCCGAGGATGACACAGCACTACAGGCGAAACCTTCGCGGCACGTTGATTATTTATCACACAATTGGAAAGAAGAGGATATATGGGCATCATGGAAACTCATTGTATCAAAGGGGGGCGAATACTCTAATCATGAACGACTAGAAAATGCTTCGTGGAGAACTTGGATGAAGGCAAAATATAGACTCAAGACCGTTTCACCCGAAACACTTAATTGGTAGGTTTTCATGTTTATACTGCTGCTCTTGTGAGTAGGTTGAATCGAAAAATAACTGACATTTTGTAGGTTGAAGGATTGTGATGTGACCTGGCTATATGGTCCACTTCAAGCTGGACCAACCACATTCAACGCCCCAGATACTTCTCCTATCAGCAGCAGCAGGCTATCGAAATCAAATTCCTTTTTGCAAAAGAAGCCAATTCTCAAGAAACGAAGCATGTCTGAAATAATGCTTCAAAGGTCATTGTCATCATCTTCATTGCTCAAACAAGCTGCTGCTGCGGTCCAAGCACAGCAATCTGGGGATGGACGCCCTGGCATAATTAGGGCTGCATCTGACTACGTTCCCTATGAATTTGCAAGTAGACAATCTGAGCAAGCTGATTTGAGTATGCTTTCATCGGTTACCTCGTCAGGACTAATCACCCCCGGTACTGAAAAGAAACACATTAGTTTCAATGAACAAGTATCGCAATGTATAGCTTTGGAAGTCAAGGGCGATGATGATGACGAACTGGACTACAGTACTCAAGACTTTGACGATAGTGACTCCGATGATGGAGCTATCATGATGAAGAGAAGCACTTCTAAACGACAACTCCCACCAATGAGAAAGAGGATAATTTCCAGAGTCAACTCTATGACTGATAGCAAAACCATTGCAATGTTACCATCCACAACACTCAAGTACCGAGCAGATACCCCCGAGCCACAGGAAACAGCCATGAAGCACAGTGGGTCTTTTCACGGAGGAAAGTTGTCACCGTCACCCTCTCAAGACACATTGAAGCCTTCAAAACCATCAACAAGAATGCTTCTAGGCGATGATGAAGACGATGATGATATCGATTGGCAACCACCCAATGCGTTTGCTCATAGAAAAGATAGCGTATCCATTGCGCAAGATCGATTCCACAGTCTCAGCACCTCGGACTCTGTTGGTAACGAGGAGCCATCTGGTATGAGGAGAACGCCATCCGGCATGTTTATGCCCTATGAAGAAGATGAAGATGATGCTGTATCTGAAGGACTTTTTGGAAAAGTTGTCGACACTGTAAATACAGCAAAGGACATCGCACATGTCATCTGGAATGTCGGATGGAGGCGCTAATTTTCAGGTTTGGACAACGGCTCTCGAAAGCCTCACTGGCATTCCAAGGGTCAACTCATGCACACGATACAATTATTGATCGAAATATAATGTCGACGTATATACGGCGACTTTTGTACATAATACTAAAGCACATATTAGATGCTGCATTTACACACCGGGTTCAGGAACCACAATTGGGATTGGTCGGCGTTTTGGCTTGGGAACGGGGTTTTCTCTTAATGGGTTCAGGGCTTGAGGATGATAGCCAAAATTGTACTCTGGCAATGGGTTACATATAAAGGGTTCGGGCAAATTCGTTACGATTGGGGGTTGGGCTTTCACTGGGTATAGGAGAGACTGGTTTATCTTTTGGTTGAGGAGGAAAAAATTGGGTTTACACTGTACGATGGGGACCATGGGTGGTGCACAAGCACACTATACAAATGCACACCTCACTGCATTTTCGCAATCATGCGAATTGGCGCACGCCATACCTAGGGAAGAAAGGGAGAGGAGAAATAAATTGGCGACCTATTGAGCATATACACCAATACAGTAGTCAACAAAAATGAACAATATACAAAGCAAATAATCTCTAGAGCTATGTGATGCAAAGTAATGTGGTTATGTTGTGATCTGATGGCATGTAAGGGATCAAACGGGCTTTGATGAAGTGTCGTCATATTCTTACACTAGATGAGAAAACTTTGCGGCCTCTTTCATTCATCCTTTTACAATCATTCCTAGAATTTCCCCCTATGATTTCTATCTTCCCATCTCATTCTATGAAATTTGAGTACCGATAGCCTAGTATGTCGTGCTAAAATTTTATCCTTTGTCGCCCCCTCCTATACTTCTAGAATGCCACATCCTTTCATCCCGCATCCCGCATTCCGCATTTTGCGCCTTTCTTCTGTGGGATCTTTCGGCATGTCGATCTTGATTGAAGATTTGATGGATGGGTTGATTGATGGTGCAGTGCAGTGCAGTGCAGTAAGGGTGCGCTGCTGGGTTTACTAGGTTCTAGGTTTGTTTATGTGGCGAGTTTTGTGAGGGAGAGTGGGTTTTAGGGGTCTTTTGGGTGGGGTTTTTATGTTTACTTTTTTTGGGGGGGTTGAGGGAGAGGGAGAGGGAGAGTGGATGATGGATGGATGGATGATAGAGAGGATGGATGGATGATGGGGAAAGGGTATGGGATAGGTGAGATAGGTGAGATAGAGAATTGGGAGTTGGGAGTTGGGGAAACATTTTACGCAAGCAAGCAACCAAGCAACCAAGCAAGATTATGTATGTATGTATGCGTATATGTCATTATACTAGACTACATAGAGTATAAGATCAAGAGATAAATAGGAATAAAGGAGATACCTCTGAGAGACAATAGCAGACACGAACTTGTTCCTCTTTATCATTATTTTTGCTTTTGCTTTTGTTTCTTTGTCTTGTCTTGTCTTTCTTTCATGTTCTTCTTGTTTTCATTCTCTATCTTGTAGTCGGTCTCGTCGTCGTGTCCAATCGTACATGATCACGTATCTACCTATAAATCCGGGGTAACCTTAGAGGACTAAGGAGAGCTTCAGATGCAGAGCGTCAGTCAATCATTCCATTAGTAAGTAACTAGATAGCTAGATAGCTCGATCGCTAGCTAGCTCAACCTCGGGATGGCAAAGAGAAGACGCGCGCATACGGAGATACCTAGCTCGTCAGTACATTTGTGTGACTTAGTTGACGCGCTAACCAGGTACATCACTCAGCCTCCTTTTCGATCCGTCGCGCATTTGGAGAATGGATTCCAAATCGCATTCATCCATTGGCATTTCACACTTGTCATTTTTTCCCCTCCTCCATTCCTTCTCCTCTCGAGCCCCCCTCGCTCCTTGGGACTCTCTCCCCTCATTTTCACATCCTGAGACATCTGACCACCCCTTCCCCATTCCAAATTCCAACCCCACAATTTGCCGAGCATACCTTACATACCTTACATACCATATCATACCATACCGAGCTACATAGAGTAAGGTAAGCACTCTGAGAGCTCAAATAGGTAGGCAAGCACGCTCGTAGATTACCCCATCTCAAACCTCCCTCCCATGCAATGCACGCCACGTTACCCCAAGAAATGGCCGGAAACGATTAGACCGATCGACAATGAGGCGGACTAGACGGGGTCCAAGAGTCAAGCAAGACACCATACTGCGTACATGGAAATTGAGACACCCAAGACCAAGTCCCTTCCTTCCCTCTTGCCCCCACTTTATCGAAGCTTTTTTACTTTTAGAATATATTATTTATACGGAAGAGTGGTCATGGGACTACTTGTTATTGGAATTCCCCCCCTTTTTGGATCTGGCTTGTTTGCGTTTGATATGTATGTGGAGTGGAGTGCTAGACACCTAGGTAGGTATGGATATGAATGGTAATTGAATTTCGACGGGTTTCTATACATACATTACTGAGAAGAAATATGCATGGAAATTTGTAGTTAGAAAATTGCACCTGATCACTCCCTACATAATTAGTATGTAGAGTAAATTACCAAGCGTCTCAAGCAGTGTCGTAGGCTCAAATCAGATTTCCAAATATGATTATCTAGAAATATCAATAAACAAGAGTTCATACATACATATATACATAGGTACATGATACATAACACATATGCGTACCATCATCATCATCATCATCATCATCATCATCATCATCATCATCAACAATCCCTAAACGATCCATCCACTTTCCTCCATCTCCATCTCTACCCATCCATCCCTTTCCCTCCAACCCCCTCGCCCAACGGGCGGTCCCCAAATACAAGGGATCAAATACAAGGATCCCACCGCAGTTCCTGACAATCATTCCATCATCTCCATGCATCCGACCGCCGATCACGACGTACCCTGAAAATCCGCACCGAAAATCATGTCATCACAAAATATGGGGAAAAACTCGTCTGCCGTGGGTGTTTGTAACTGGTGTGTGGGGAAATTTGGGAAGGAGGGAAAGGACAGACAGGGATGAGAAACAAGGGGGATCCCGAGACTTCGGGTAAGGGAATTTGTGCTTGCGTTGCTTTGGTTTTACCTAGGTAGTTACAGTAGCTCAGTAGGTAGATTGAATTTATGATTTTTTTTTGGTGAATTCTTGAATGGAGGCGGGTTTTTATGTAATTTGTAAGTGTTATGTATGTGTTATTATTATTTGTATTGGTATTGAAATTTAGCTGGGGGCTGAGTAGGTGGTTGGTTATTGGATTTAGTAAATACTAATAATGATAGTAAATAGTGATTATAGAAAAGGGTGTCCCTAGTATTTTTCATAACTCTATTAACTAGCTAGCTGTTTGTAAAGTTGATTAATAAAACACTATTAAATAATATCATCAGCCTCAAGTTGTGACTATGTAGTATATACCAAGAATGAAAGCTCCTGTATTAATCAATATATAACTCAGAGGTACTAAAGAAGCCAAAATATTCGTAAAAAGATTGTGATTGGGCTTTTTAAATTGGCTCTTCGAGATGTGGCAAGAGCTCGCTACCCCTGAGCAGTAGAAGTGTGCCTAGATGAACTCAGCACTTTGAACAAGAGGCAAGAGGTTGATAGTACCCGTGGCAGTAAAGTCAAATACAAAGAACATTCGGTGGGAATATAGGTCAGTATGATACCTGCAATTGACTGAAACATACACAATATCATCGTATCTGTCATTGTCATTAATTCATAACCAACTACCTAACTACAATTCTTCCTCCCTGCTGTGCTTTTACGCTTTTACTTAAACACTTTTTGTCGCTATTTCTTCGAAACATACATTAGGAAGCTTTCTACAGTTCACCTTGGAACTCTATAACTCGAAACTAAAACCTTGAAGAAGCTGTTTAGTATCCAAGTAATCCGCTCTCTACCACTGAACCACTCCCTCCTCCTTACTATCTCCAAATCTCAGTACTCCATGTTTTCTCCTCTCCGTAAGCCACCTATCAATCCACATCTTCATTCGTTTCCTCCCAACTTCGCTACCGACATTGACAGTTGGAACCACCTTTTCAATTCTTAAACCCATAACAAACATCGTTAACTCCCTGAAACTGCTATGTTCAGAATATGGTACTCCGAAACATTGCGCTTCTTTTGTACTTCCTCTCTGCGGTACCAATTCTCCCATGCTGTATTCCGACCTCCAATTTGTAGCAGTAAGAATCGTGTGAATCGGCGGAGAATCTACAAACCGAGAATTCGGTGGCTTATAACTCCAACCACTTGGTCTAAACCCCACAACACGTGTGAAATGGGGCTTATAACCAGTAAGGTAGTCTTGTAAAGTTTCGGGCCGTAAATCCATAAGCATTTGCATATGAATTTGTGCCTCCCGAGGATCCGATGTCAGGCGACTTGTAAGTTCGGAATCTTCTAAAGCGGCACAGATACGCATTTTTCCTGGAGTTGCATAGATTTTGCAATCTAGAGCGCGAGCTATACCAAGTACGATGCGTTCCTTGCCAATACTGTAGGTACCACAAACAACAAGTAAACGGCCTCGAGCTTTCTTCTCGCTCTTAGAAGACGTTTCTGGGGTGTCAGAGTCCTCAGCCTCAATCTTCATAGAAGGCTTGATGAAATTCGTCATCTTGGATCCTGCTCGTTCTCTCTTGACTGTTTCCCATGCATCACTTTCTTCTGCCCTTTCTTTACTAAGACTGACACACATATCTGCGCAAGCTTTTACGACATCTTCTTGCGATGGGAATGAGTATTTGGGATTCAGGTATGTAGTATCAAGATAACAGACATCAATCTTTTGCTGTTTAGTCTTTCCATTGACTGAGTCGACGATGTTGGGCATTAGAAGAGGGTGAGCAATATGCGCCGGACAAGCTCGAAAGTCGCCACAGTGAAGAATGCGTTGAACTTTAGGCCTTTGGCCACCGCCAGTAGTCTTCTCGAAGAGAAAAAGCGAGCTTCCAGGGCAATGATTAGCTGGAATCATTGTCACTGAAACGCCCTGTGTATTAGGCACTTCGATCTTGTCGTCAAATTCAATGGATACAACCCATTTTGGATCTACTTTCAGTTGTTGTTTGACGAGATTGCCAGTGATTTTGCTACAATATATAGGACCGTGTGACCAGGTAGAAGTTAGACCAATGTAATGATCGCTATGAAAGTGACTCAAAAAGTAAGCATTACAGCCTTGAACTGCACCATATCTGAATGCATCAACGCAGATAAACAGTCCAGGCATGATCTTGTAAAATGGGCAAGTCCTCTGGTGTGCAGGCTTTCCTCGAGACGACTTTTCCTTATCTGCAGCGTTAGCCCAAGCAGCATCTTCTGCGTGGCCTGACATGATTTTGGAAAATGCAGATCCTCCCTCGTTGTTGAGATCAATTGGGTTCACCTGCCCTGGTCTTGGAACTGCTGCTTTCTTGGCAAAACGGTTCCTGGCAACTTCGGGCATTACCACTTTTGCTTCGCTTGATTCTGAATATGCTTTTGCTTTAATCTTTGCTGGTAGAGGTATGGGTTTCCCATCTAAACACGCATTAACATGCATTGAGGCTTCATTTGAAGTAAGGCTGCTCAAATTCGCATCGCACAGAGGACAA